TTAACATAAACTATTTTACTGTACTAACCCGTAGGCTGAGCAAATTCTATATGAGGGTCTGGATGGGTAGTCCTTCAATTCTGTTTTCTTTAATTTAATAAGCCATTTTACTCTATTATCTAAAAATGTTGTCCATTATTCTCTATTCTTTATATTTTAACAATACAACAGATTAAGAAGTGTTTGATAGATAACTAAGACTTAAACAATTTTTTTTTCATTTATATTATTAGACCTACCTTCCATAATAGCTCCAGTTTGCTATTCTAATCCTTGGTACATTAAGAGGAGGAAACATATATATGTATATGCTTACATATATAAAGATAATGTCATAATTCAAAATTATCCATGCTATCACTAACAACAGATCAAGTTTCAATCAACACATCCTGATATACATTATAGCAGTCGGAATACTTTTCTATCAAAACGGTATTAATTTTTGACTTAACACCCCTTTACAAAGTACACCAATCTCTAAAGCGAACATTTATAAACGACTATCTACAAACTGCTATACAAATACATATATTTGATTATTTATTAATGCAGACTCTTTGAACAAGTTGCTGTCAGCACGAGGTTTTAAATACCCCCATTGATTTTAGAACAATTTTATCTCGATGGAACTGAATTAAAGTCCGTTTCAAGATATAAAGAATAAACATTTGTGGGGGTAGTCTTTACAATTAGCTTAAATAGTTTGAATTTATCAGATGCGTGATCGCGTAATGATTATTAATTTTTGATCAGTCAATTAACTATTTTAATCACACGTAGTTTCTACTTCATTATAGTCGAGTGTGATCTTATATATTGTATAATGTACCTGTTCACGCAAAACTTCACACCCGAAGTCCATGGTGATCAAATAAATGTCTTTTGTGTTTTATTTAGTCGTTGGGTTGTTGTCTCATTGACATTTACTCGACATTTTCCTTTATTCATAATATAGAACTATTTCTTGTCTAAAGTTAAAGGTCAGGATTAAAATTTCACATGCTTTGAAAGTATAATGATTGGACTTTAACAAGTACAAAATCTAACTGGAACGGGACTCAATAGGAAATCATTTTTTTTTTTGCTTATTTCCCCCCCTTAGCCACCATAACTATAAAAACTATTGCTGATTTTTTGCAAAAAGGCAATTTACTTGGAAACCATGGAAGGGTCCTTCGGGTCCATCGTTTTGGCTTATAACTTGCTGACAAGGGTTAAAATTATAATGTTATGGTGAAAGAATTGTTTGTGTGGTTTTATTTTCTTAATTATTATCGATTACATTATTTTAGTTTGAAATACAACTTTATTTATTATTTATGTTCTTATCTGTGTTGACATTCCGTACATATATATTTTTTTGCAATTCTATTACTATACTATTGCTATAGTTATGAACACTTATGGTCCTACAACCTGTCGATCTTATATTTTTACATTGCACAAGGTCATACTCTTCTCGGACTGTTTATGATATCTATACACAAAATCCGTTGGGTTCGTGTTGCTCAGTCTTTAGTTTTCTATGTTGTGTTTTTATATACTGTTGTTTGTCTCTTGGTCTTTTTCTTTTTTTGCCATGGCGTTGTCATTTTATTTTCGACTTTGAGTTTGAATAATCCTTTGGTATCTTTCGCCTCTCCTATACAAAAAATCCGTTTGAATTATACTGATTGATATCTAAGTCTGGTTCATTTATCAGTTGAACATGATTTTGAACAAGCTTTCAGCAAATACGAGTACTCTCAGATTGATATTTTTGGGTTTTTTTGTATTTTTGCTAGGCTATTTTAGTGTGTTACGTGCCGATCCGATCCGTCAAGTAATTTCAGACTGAGTTCTACAGTTATTTTTTTCATGTTACACTGTTATACCACTGCCCAAGGTTAGTTTAAGTTTTGGCGCTCACAAACATTTACCTGTGTTTAAAGTTATTGCAAATGGATGGTATTTTTGTTCAAGCATATTGTTTTTCTTTAATTGTTTAACACTTCTTACTGATATAACATGTTACTTTTATTATTCTTCCCTTAGTTTATTTATTTTATATTTACATTGTGTCATAGGTCAAATTTATTTGTTCCGTGTATGTTCAATGGTGTTAATATGTCCTTTGATTGAGTTAAGCTATTTTAGTTGATATTTTATAGTGTGTCTTTCTATGTTGTGATGTTACACTATTGTTTCAGAAAAAGGGTGAAGGTTTGGTACCATTAAAACGTTTAAACCCGCTGCATTTGTTTGCACCTGTCCTAAGTCAGGAATCTGATGTTCAGTAGTTGTCGTTTGTTGATGTGGTTCATAAGTGTTTCTCGTTTCTCGTTTTTTATATAGATTAGACCGTTGGTTTTCCCGTTTGAATGGTTTTACACTAGTAATTTTTTGGGGCCCTTTCTAGCTTACTGTTCGGTGTGAGCCAAGGCTCCGTGTTGAAGACCGTACTGTGACCTATAATGGTTTACTTTTATAAATTTTGACTTGGATGGAGAGTTGTCTCATTGGCACTCATACCACATCTTCTTATATCTATTAACCCTTTCACTTTCTTTATGTGCCAGTCCTAAGTCAGTGCATGGGTGTCGTTCAATGCTGTCTGACTGTAATAATTTATTTTTCGTGTATTGTTTTTAGCCTAAGTCATGCCGGGAACTTTTAAAGCATTCAATATTGTATGGGTTTTTCTCTTTGTTGAAGGCAGTATCATGACCTTTATTTGTTTACCTCCTCGTCCTTTGGTCTATCATGTCTATGGTGTTATATTTCTCCAATATATTTATATACGAATGAAAGCAGAAATTTTCAATTTACTATCCGAACGAAAACATTTGTTTCGTTACAAAATAATGTTCAAGCTTAACTGAATAAGCATTTTTTCAAATCTTGCTCCAACTTAATTATGTTATTTGTATTTCATCATGCACACGGTCTATTCACAAACTTTTTTTTAAAATCGAGTTATTCCCCTTATATAGGATATGTTTATTAAAGACTGATTATATGTATGTATCAAGTTGTAATTCGTAAATGGATTTTAACTATGTACAATGATGACAGAAAAAAAAAGAATGGGAACCTTTTTAAAAACCAGTGATTAACTCAACTGCCTCGAAATCGAAGCAATGCCTACTCTATTTATGACTCCTGTCCGGATACTCATGAAAATATGTGATCAGTCAAATTTGACGATCAACGACTAATGTACTAGTCATCAAATGTAACGATACACAAGTATGAACTCCAATTTATCATAAAATATAACAAATAGGAAAAAACCTGTTAAATTATTCGACGAAAAACATTCATTTGCAAAGCAAATGCATATGACTAAAATAATCTGACCAAATTGAAAAGTGAGAAAGTACCGTGTTATTGAACACAGGGGTCAAATTTATTTTGCGGAAAATGATGACAAAAGTCGGCACTTAATTTCGAAGATGAGAATTAAGTATTTAAATATCTGCATAGGCATTCAAAATATTAAGCAGACCATGTTTACGTTTAAAGTTTTAAGTTCTAAAATTAATTTTTGAAATTTTGGGTGAAAATACGATTTTTGAAATAACAAAAATTGCGAAATAAAAAAATCGCGTATTTGCCTTAAATCAATGACTTTGATAAGAAAATAACATTCTGTAAATATTAGACCAACTGGGCAATTATTTACCTTGGTGCAGTGTATCCAATTTTCATTATATATGGACAATACATTGCCTTGTATCGTTTCTTTTGTTGACTAGTATGATAATCCGTACAAAGGATAATACCCCCCCCCCCCCCCCCCAAAAAAAAACAACAAAAAAACAAACACTTGTCAAAGAAGACAAGTCATCAAAATGGCAACTTCCAATAGATGACCAGTAATAATTCATCTTTTGTGTAAAATATATACTGATACACAACACGGGTCCAAATCGGGACCACCTCTATCACAGTAAGCTAGGTGAGAGTTCACCCAACTGAGCCAAGGACTCATCCTCTTGTGCAGCTAATGAGGTTGTAATACATCTGTAGGTCTAGGGATGTTATATATTGAAGATATCAATCATTAAACCCTAGCTAAATTCCTCGTAAATCTTTAATCCACCACTGAACTACCGGATCTGACCCCGCCCATTTATTCAGTAAGTATCACCTCTTTTTTCATACCATCTTTATACTAATTTTGCTACGGAGATTTTCTTTTTGAAATCAAATTATTTCCCCTATATTGTAAAATTTTAAAATAAAACAATAATTTTGTAATATCATCGCTAAATTGTTTCTATCCTTACCTATTATTAACTGGTTTAAAATAGTTTCATGTATGTTACACAGCCAAACGTCTTTTATGGACAGTTTGAAAATATGAAAATGATTAACATTCATGATATCTATTCTATCATTCTATATTAAAGGAACAATGAGTGAATAAAACTTCATTGAAACTGAATATTACCTAAAAAAGACAATTTAGAAATTTTAAAAGATTTTATAAAAGAAATGACAAGTAAAGATGAATGTGGACTAATGGACTCTTGGAAACCCGATATTTCTTTATCAACCCAACACTGCTGATTCGAATTCTATGTTTTTCTATAGAATACGTAGAAATGATGAAAAAGGAAAGGCCATTAATTCAAAAGAAATTTATATATAAAGGGATCGGGCGGCGTGAATGACAATTTATTTCTAATGTTAAGTTCTGTATAGTAGTTTTCTAGGAACACTTAATTTTCATTATTTATTTTATTTCATTTATTAAACCGGAAATTCATACTTAAAACATTCACAGAAAGAAGTGTCAAATACACAGATTGATTCAAATCTTAATTTGTTTAGTTTTGTAATATAAGTATTGGAATTTCGTGATTATTTTTCTTCTCTAATTTATAATTATTGTCACAGTACAGCTGAAAAAAGGCACCAAAAGTTGCTTATGGAAATAATATGATTTTGAAACTTTGCCGAAATGTAACTTTCTTTTTTTGAAAATTCATAAAAAATTCTTTCAAACTTACCTTGCAGACATTGAGACTGTTGCTAGACGGACCATTCTAGCAGGGACACGACGACTCCTGTTTTGCTGAATCAGCATACCTCTTTCGTATGCAGTTGGTGAAGACATAGGTGGCGCTGAACCAATATGAACCGGATGGGCACCACCGAAACTTCGTCCATGGTCGGTTACACTCCTACCAGGCTGAATATTATGAAGAGGCTTTCGTTCAACGGTAACGGACAGAGCAGTTGTTTGAATTTCCGATTTTTCAACATCCAATCTATTTTCATTGGTCAAACCAGTTAGAGGTCTTGTTGTTTCACTTCTGTTGTCGGTGTCTTTCGTTTTTGCAGATCTGGTTTTGTGTTTCATGTCATATTTTATTATTTCCGGTTTATGTTTCACTGTTGAAATTTGTAAAAGCCCACGGTCGTCAAATCTGGCTTCCTTAAGATGAATAACATCTGCAAGCTTAGCATGATGCACTTCATCCGTAACCGGACCTTTCAGTTCATTATCTAGTGAAGTGGGATTTTCTACTAAAACCGCCATATCTGAAAGAAAACATTTATAATTCATGAGCAATTCTTCTTAATCGATTTACAAAATAATAGGATATATAACACTGAAAACAAACCCTTCAAAAAACATTAAACACTAATGGTGTAGAATAAAAGAACCAAGTTGATGCATTCGTAAAATTGATTTTGTAATAAAGAAGTCACCAAGATACATATACCAGGCTTATAGATAAGACTGTGCGACTGAATAGGGAAACATTCATTTTTTATTAGTTGTTATTAGCTTTGAACTACCTTCAGTAACTGCGAATACTCAGAGATCGGTACATGGTGTCTTTTAGTCTTTTTGTTAGTTGTTTTTTGTGCTTTATGTCGATTAGATGAGTCAAGCCCTTTTCAACTCATTTTTAACAATATGTTGTGATGTTACATCACTGTCCCAGGAGAGGGTTGGGCGCTAGCAAACACGTTTAACCCCGCAATTCTGTATGTGTCTGTCCCAAGTAAGGTGTCTGTAATTCAGTGGTTGTTGTTAGTAACTACCGATCATATTCATTTTTATTTTATTGTATTGTACATAAATCAGGCCGTTGGTTGGTTCGAATTGGTTACATATTGTCATGTCGAGGCCTCTTATAGTTTACTATACGGTATGGACTCATTATTGACGACCGTACTGTGACCTAAAGTTGCTTACAGCTACCTCATTCGGTCCCTGGGGGACAGTTGGCTCATCGATATTGTATTATTTCTGTAGATCTATATGTTCACATGTTTAGGTAGTTCGTTTTTAATTTTATAAAAAAATCAAGTTTTTATACTTTACCGAAACTTTAACAAGACATAAATCTATTAATGATCTGTAGGCTATAAGAAAGGCGAAATACACCAAAGGGACATTCAACTCATAAGTCGAAAATAAACTGACAACGCCATGGCAAAAAAACCAAAACAAAACAAAACAAAAGACACACAACGGTATACAAAAAACAACATACAAAACTAAAGACTGAGCAACGTGAACTCCACCAAAAACTGGGGTAATCTCAGGTGCTATGGAAGGGTAGGTAGATCCTACTCCATATGTGGCACCCGGTGATTTTCGGGAAAAGGAGGACGGGATGTGGTTATAGCAAAGGAACAAAAATATTGCAAGTGCTTTTTGAACAAGCTTTGGAACACCCTCCACTTGATTCTTGAAAGAAATTTGAATAAATGTAATTTATTTCAATGATCTACCTTGTACAACTTAATCTGCTAATGAAAAATAATTAAGGTCCTCATACATTCTTTATACAGCCGATTGCATGTTAAAGGATATATATCGTGAACGTTGCAGAAATGTATGACTGTTGTACACTACTGCCAAAATCAAGACATCAACAGTCGGAATTGAACAAGGTCATAATGGGATGCGACATGCTGCATCGGCAGGGTATAAGTATCTTCTGCTTTGAATGCAAGAGTTGTATAATTGTGACAAGGCCATGGAACGTTAAAAAAAGAAATAAAATCTGATCGACTATGGAATATGGTAGGTAGTTATCTCATTGGCAATCATACATATCCTTACTTTTATATCTATAGTGAACACGAGGAACCTAGTTAAAATGCCTCGATTAAGGTGAGACGCGGTAAAAGTCTTATTCATATTGACGTGTTGGAGGTATTTTTCAGTTAAAAGTAAATTGTGCTAGGAAACTCGCCATAAATTAACTGAAATAGATAAAATACAATAGACGTACGCAGATTTGAGGCTATTAATAGGAAAAAAGTTTGTCATAGCTATGAATCGTCAGTCAGTATCAAGTTTAATACAAAAAAAGTTCATGAACTGGCCTATGTAATGTTTTTTTTATCATTTAACGTGTGATATATGAGGTATAGGCATTCAATGTAATGTGTATTATTAAAAAAAAAAACTTATTAATTCTATTTGAAAGTAAAAGTTTAGGTTTTCTTGGATTTGTTCTGTATACCTTTCAAGAAGGGTTTGCATCGATATAAAAATCAGAAAGAGATGGCCAGGAAGGGTTGCAACTAGTACCTGATTGATATATAGTTGCTTGGTTGCATATCGTCTACTGGCAATTATGTTGTGCATATTCAAGACGAGAACAAATTAATGAGTAACGTAATACAATAAGTATTGTAACAGTAGGTTTTGCAAGGTAGGTCGATCGGAACGAAGAGCTGGAAATTGTGGACTTCAAACTGAAAAAAAATGGTATATTGGAAACGGTCAGACATTTTGCCACCTATGGGCCCCTTACAGTTGGGTTTCTTAACACGTAGAGAGCGTGACATTAAACTTACAGGAGGTATCGGATTTAACGTTCCCATCTTGACCTGACGTGGCTGTGTATTTATACATCACGCACATCCAAACAGGGAAACATATTTTTTTTTATTCGTCATTTTTAGAACTAATACCAACATTCTGTTTCAATGTCAATCCATCAAACCAAGCACATATGTTGCCGATGAAATAAAAAACGAGTATATTGGAATATGATGAAAATAACACTATAAATTTCGTGCGTTCGAAAAACTTGATTAACCTTCATCAGGAACGCAAAATCCAAATATTGAATACCAGGGATGCATTGATACGTTAAAAACGATGGAGGCTACATGTATATGACCAAAAAGGGATTAAAAGAATAGCCCAGCAAGGTCAAATTTAACAAAGGGAGTTGGAACCTTAGTTTCTTAATTTATCAACGAGCAAATTTAAAAATATGTTATAAATTATATCAGCACAGAAGCCCTGACTACTGAATATATTTGTTATTGGAATTAGTGCGGTTCTTAAGAAAGATTTTTTTAACTAGGAAAAGAGATTGATAAATGTTAATCATTCTTACAGAACATTGCGTAATGAGAAAAAGTATACGATATTTGAATTTAATTGAAGAGTAGCATGTTTGACAATAATCGACATTATAGAAACTTAGTCAACGGCTACTGCTAGATTTTGTTAAATAATATGACTTTTGCTCATTGTAAAAAAAACCTATTACTATTTTTCACATGTAAGTGATATTTCTTATTTATCCATATATGAGAATGTTTAATGCACAAACAAGTACATTTTAGTTCCAGAAAAGGTAGAACTAATTGATTAATTCATTATTATCGAACAGCTCATTTGAGTCATACTTATGTTGCTATAACTATTCAAAGACTTTGTATTTACATTTGGGCATTTATGGTAATTGTGAACTATTTTAAGCTTCAAAAATGTTTACCTTGACTATATATGATCAATCAATTTGAAACCTTATAGAACTCTCCGTCTCATATCAACACCGACAGACGTTTGACAGACTGATGACTTAAAGTATCAACAACTCAAAAATTTAGTTTGCGATCGTCACTTAACAAAATAAGTGAAAAACAACGAGATATATTTACGTTATGTGATAAATATATACGTCACGCGCAACTTGTATTATTGGAATAGACCTTCACCAGGTACGCTGGATGCTAAAAGTGTGGGAGCCAAATACATATAAACTATTTAAAAACAGCGTTCATGAAAAAAAAAAAAAGGAATGAGCCGAGGAAATATAGGCATACCTATTATATCCCTGTCCCAGGTTAGGGGGATGGTTTGATGCCAGCTAACATGTTTAACCCCGGCACATTCTGTTTGTGCCTGTCCTAAGTCAGGAGCCTATGATTCAGTGGTTGTCGTGGTTGTCGTTTGTTGTATATTATATTTGTTTTTCATTCATCATGTTCATTGTTTTGTACATAAATCAGGCCGTTAGTTGTCTCGTTTGTATTGTTTTACATTTGTGTCATTTCAGGGTCTTTTATAACTTATTATGAGGTATGGGTTTTGCTCATTGTTGAAGTCCGTACGGTGACCTACATTTGTTTACTTCGACGTCATTTGGTCTCATGAGGAGAGTTGTCTCATTGGCAATCATACCACATCTTTTTATTTTTATACAAGAGATAGGAACAGTACTCGCATAAATGACCATTAAAGCAGTGTAAATCATTCTAATTTCAAACTGCAGTCGTACATAGATGCCAATTACATTTTTTCAGAATATCTTTTTCACTGAAGTTTAACAATATCATAACGAGAAAATGAATATCATTGTATATAGAAAATTTCAGAAATGTTTTAAGCAAGGAATAATAGAAATAAACAATGTACATACCACACTATATTTTGGTTCTACTGCCTTGACTTGTTATCAAACTTTCAACTGAGATCAATTCTATCCAAAATATATTGTTTTGTATCCAAGAAAAAAAAAATGTACATGGCAAAAAACACTTGTATATTGTTATCATACCAGGAGATCTTAACAGTTAATAAATGTTTAATACTGTCAGTGAACTATGATTGTAGAATTTAAATGCCCGATCACATACTTGAAGACGTGCACAAAAGAATTGTATAATGTTAATCAATATCATCTGATACTTTGATTTGACTAATTGTAGCTATACGTAAAACGAAAATAGTATGTACTTAAAATTAAAGGTATTTAAACACTACCCCAGGTTCAGAGTAACCGTAATAGTTTACATAATGATAAGTTTTACACCTATATTTCGATTAAATTCTTTTCAAAGTTATGTAGCTCCACATGCTTGCTTTCTTTAATCACAGTAATCCTTTTTATGTTTGATGGTAATCAATTGTTTTTTTTTTTATTATTCAAAAAGATAACAGAAAAAGCCAACAATGACACACGATCTGTAACAAAAGGAAGTCTTAATATCCATTTTTTAAAACGGGGACTTACCCCCAGTGTTATTTAACCCTCCTTTGATGGTTATATTTCGCTTTCTCTTCCTTATTATAACTAGTATTGTTGGTTCATTGTTGGCGTGTTTACAGTAGCGGCTAGATACATATTTATCACTATAAATAATGAAGGTATAACATCCAGGATTGATCTAATCGTTTACTGAACTTTTTAAATCACAAATCATATAGGAAGTAATATGGAATTATGAATTCAACTGTAAGAATCTATATTCCTTAGCATTCAGGTTTATTACAA